TGCCGCTGCCATTTAGTCACTGTGACATATCCCAAATCTTGGGCCCTGTGCAAAAACCAATCTGTGCCCACAGAATTAATCATGGAACATATTTTATGACGTTTGACAACAACTTAAAAGGTTCTCGTCTCTGGCAGGTGGCTCTGCCAATCTGCAAGTGTGTGCACGAGGAGCCCAACATTGTACGGAGGGGCTGGAAACACTGGGAAAGAGAAAGCTGGGTGGGCTCAGCCGGGCCCAGCACCCCCAGGACAGCAGAGCCGTGCTGGGAGGGAAGGACAGGTATCTGGACCCGCAGAAAAGGCTGCCACTCCTGTGCCAGGAGATGCTGGGAACATTGGCACCGCCGCCCACGTTGGCAGGACCAAGGGTTTGGACGGCTAATTTAAGCGACAAGATCCTGGCAAACACATTTATTTAGGGCAAGGGTGCGTCCGGAAGATGCCAGAAAAACACATCAATCTGTGCCTTTCCATGTGCGATGAAGCATCTGACATTCAAAAAGCCAGCTGTGCCGCCTTGGTGTGACCTGGAGCTCTCTCCCAGGCGCCGGGCAGGGGTTTGGTCTCCCGTGAGATCTGAGATGCAATGCCCCTTCCAAAGGTGTTCCCCAAGAGATTCCCCTCTGCACTGACCAGGCCGAGTGCTTTTCTGTACTAACTTATTTGAAAACAGGGTTATTTTACACTGTTCGGCATCGTGTTCCAGGATTTGACTTTCCCAAGCAACTTGATTGACGCATATCACAAAAACAGTATTGGAAAGAAGGAAGATCAGGGCTTTAGTTGTCCTGTGAAAACCCTCCATAGCTCCCTTATCAGAAGACAGGCCGCTACTCCACTGTCTGCACCTGCCCGGATCTGCTTCCTGTCTTACACAGCACAGATGATTCGTGTGTGGTTCTGCAGGCCCTAAACAATCATTCTACTTGGAGCATCTTGCTTCCCGCTATTCCTTTCCATTTCCCTCACTACCCAAGACAGCCTCCAGCCCCCACATTACCCACCACCCTGTCTCCCCTTCCTCGACGCTGTCCTATACAATGTGTTTGCAGCGTCTCGGGTTCAGAAAGCACCCAGACCCTGGTAACCTACTGTTGTTGCCCAAAAACTAACCCTGCATAATGCAGCTTTCACTGGGAATTGTCTAGACCCAGGCTTTCTGCTCTGATTTTGAAGTTTCCTTCATCCCTAGGGCTGGAAGTCACAGGAAGAGGAGCACTTTCACAGGAAGGTAGTTCCTTGATGGTGGTGGTGGCTGGCAGAGGCAGGAAAACAGCAAGGCTGGGCCTCCTTCAGGCTCAGAGTTGCATCCTGGAAGCCACAGAACCAGTGCAGTGGTGGGACTCAGGCCTCCCCTAACCAAGTGATATCTGCCAATTTCAGAGGAACATTTGGGATCTTTTTCTACACGACAGCTCAGTATTTTATCTATTTTGTATGTTGCGGACAAATGGAAATGGGTTGTAAATGAACCCGAATCATATTTTCCCCTCTTGGAAGCACTTTCGAAAATCTTTCTGTTCCTTCAACATGTCTCAAATCATTTAAAAATTAATTTTTAAAATCTGCTGGAACTGGCACCCTTCATCAAAGAGTTCTGTGTTATTTTGTTTTGTTTTGCTTTAAGACAAAGCCCCCCTTTGTTAGTTTGTTTGAGACAGGGTCTCCCTATGTAGTTAAGGATGGTCTTGAATTCACTATGTAGCCCAAGCTGGCCTTGAACTCCTAGTGATCTTCCTGCTTCAGCCTCCTGTGTGCTAAAATGACAGGCACTACCACACCTGACCAGAGTTGTGCTCTATAACCCAGGTTGGCCTCAAACTCACCATCCTCCTGCTTTAGTCACCCAGATGCTGGGATGACCCATAACACTAGCCAAACTATCAATCAGGAGTAAACATACAATTAACAAATATTTTAGAGCTGGAGATACAGCTCAGCGGGAAAGCTAGCTTCTAGGAAGCCCCAGTTTTGAGCCCCAGGACCACAGGGCAAAAGAAAAACAAATCTACAAAATTACATATAAGATGTAAAACTTCTAAAAACCTTTGACTTTCCATATGTGCTTTTCCAAGAGCTAGTAGAAAATGTGCTCCATCAAAATTAGGAACTTAGTGACAGAGGTAGGTATGTAGGAAACAGAGAATACAACATAGACAAAGTTAAGATGATTTCAGAAAGATGTTGCATAGGCTTCTCCAGAAAAAACCAAAATAATTGTGTGCGCATGTGCCTGTGTGCGTGCATGTGTGTGTAGGCATACAGTGCACATGTAGAACATGTACCCCATGGGTTTTTTATGTGGGACCCGCTCTGGGGATCATGGAGGTTGAGTCTGCTGCTCTGCTGTCTGCAAGCTGGAAACCCAGGAAAGGTGGTGTCGCAATCCCAGGGCAAACGCAAAGGCCCAAGGACCAGCAGAGCTGGTGGTGAGTCCAGAGCCCTAGAACTAGGAGCACCAAAGTCCAAGGACAGAGACGGATGCCCCAGCTTCATTTGAAAGAGCCAACTTTGTGTTAGGGGTTGAACTGGATCCTTTATTTTGAAATCTTGAGCCCCTGCACCCCAGAATGGGAACTTATTTGGAAACAGGGCCACTGCTCATGTGATTACTGGAGATGAGGTCACATGGAGTAAGGTGAGCCCTAGTCCAACATGACTGACATCCTTACAGTAAGATGTGCAGGTGAGAATAGATACCTGGAAGGAAGATCATGAGGCAAAGACTGGAGTAATGTAGCAGCAAGTGAAGGGGCACAAAGATTGCCACGAAACTAGCAGAAATCCAAGAAGTAACTAGGCAGAATTCCCCAACAGTTTCAGAGGAGGCTTAGAGCACTGATTTCTGATTTCTAGCTTTCAGAAATGAGAGACAAAAAAATACCTTGTTTTTTTTAAAGCCACTGTTTGTTGAGGCAGCCACAGGCAGCTTAGACAGTTGGGTATAAAATTCTACTCTGGAAATCATTTTTCCTACAAACATAATAGCTGTGTCCCAGCTTCCAGTACTGCTGAGAAAGCACACTGAGTTCTGAACCCCAGTCCTCAGAAAGCACCCTATTCTTTTCTCTGGAAACCTTTAGGATCTTCTATTTATCCCTGGGACTCAGAAATTTCATGACTGTGTGTTAAGTAATCAAGAATATTCAAAAGGAGGAAAATAAAAAATCCATAATTCCAATTTATAAGAGTAGTTCCTATTCCTACCAGGGTGGAAAAGCCACGTAGTTTACTGGAGGCAATGGGTAAGGAACTTAAAGAGGTAGTGTACTGCTATAGTGCTGGGGTTCATTCAGTCCTACACAAGAGGTTGGATTTGTTCCACCTAACAAAGGTTAAAATCAAGCCTCAAAATGACAAAATTGTTTACAAGGGAGTAAATTTCATAATGGCTGGAATCCTGTGGGAAAAAAATAGCAGGTATGCAAGAAGCAGGAAACTGAGAGCCATAATGAAGAGAAAAATCAATCACAGAAAAAAATTCCGACAGAACTAGCACACGAGAACATTAAAATTACTACATTTTATTCTGTATGTTTGAGTCGCTACAGGAAAGACTGAGGATGTTGAGACATGGAAAAATGTAAAACACACACACACACACCCCTAAACCAAACTACTAAAGATAAAATTCCAAGGTCTGAGGTGAACTTAATGGGAGTAAGAGACTATCAGACATTGAGAAAGCCGATTAGTAAACATAAAAGGCATAGCAGCAGGTATTATCCCCAAGAAAATACGTATGAAGAAAAGCTTGGAATAACATAGAGCTCAGGACAGCTGCAAGACAATGTCATGTGGGTGGTTATACGTGTACACAGCTCTACTACTGAGCCAAGGACAGGAGCAAGAAGACCAGGAAGGGAAACATTTGAAAAACTAAGGGCAATGTCCGCACTCAGCTTGCTCCGCGTGGCATTTGTAGCACAGCACCTGGCAGACATTTAATGAGCATTTATTGACCACAGATGTGGCAGAACAAACGCTAACAATGTCCTGTGTACTACTGCAGGCCTTCGGGACCACCAGAAGATAAAGGGAAACAGCATGGAGAAAGCAGCCTTTCTTTCATCAGAGACCTGAAAAACGAGTTCAGCTGAGTATGCAATACTGAGAATCAGATTACAAAGGGCCTTCCACCCCAGCACTGAGGAGAGCTGAGGGAGGAAGATCCCAAGTTCAAGTCCCTCCAGGACAAGCCCATCTCCAAATAAAAAGGAAAAGGAAAAGTAGTTCTGATAGGTAGCTCCTCGGTTCAATCCCCATTCTGGCATGGGTTGGTGGCAGACAACTGTAATCCCAGCACTCTGTGAGGCCGAAGCAGGAGGACCACAAGTCTGAGCACCAAACGTTTGTGGTACATCAAAGCCCTATCTTCTCTCCCCACCTAGTCATGTTTCACACTCTGTGGTTTCCACGCCTGCTCCACATGTGGGGAAGGGACCTACAAAGAGGATTTGCAGTATGGCATTCCCATACTTCACTCTCACCCAATCCTAGAGTTTAAGGATTTAAAGGATCGGGCACTCCAGCGGGCTGAGGCAGGGGGATCACGGGCTTGAATCCAGCTGAGACAACCTGGAGCCCCTGTCTCAAAATTTAAAAAACAAGGGCTGAGGATGTAGTGCAGTGTGGAGTGCCTGAGTTCAAGCCCCATTACTCACAAAATAATAATAATAAAGGACTTGAGAGACAGGTCTTCTGGCTGTACAGATGGGGAAACTGAGGCCACGTGAGGTTCAGTGAGGAGTCCAGGGTCATAAAGGGGTCAAAGGTCAAGACTAACTGAGACTAGAACCCAGGCTGCCTGACTCTTCTGCAGTGAGCATAGGGTTCCACGCGCGACGGACTCTGGCGAACACATCCAGGAGGTGACTAGGAGTCCAGGAAAACATCCTTTCCAAGCTCAGGTGCCGGGACCGGAACCGGAACCTGACATCAGCATCATCTCCCGCCTCCTCAACTCTCGCGATACTACAGCCCTCGCACTTCCGTTACCTGGCAGACCCCGCCCGCCGCTGCGGCCGCTGCTCGTCATTTCCGGTGTGCCTCAGTTGCGAAAGGAGAAGATGGCGGCGCTGGGGGAACCTGTTCGGCTGGAGAGGGGTGAGTGCAGCCGGTGCCGGGACCGGAGCGGGAAAGGGCCGGACTCCAGCGGGGAGGAAAGCAGAGGAGGAGCGGCTGCCGGGCCACGGGCC